GAACCCCATGGGTCAGAGCTTTGCTGGATGCCCTGGCAAAAGGCTCCCTTCCTCTGTGGGCACCAGGCCCTGGGAAGCAGCAGAGGTGTTTCCCACTGAGAGATGGAAGAACATTGCCTGCAATTCCCAGGGAGCATTAACTTCATTGTCAGAGCTGGGGTCTCCAGACATGGGGGCATGTGAGGCCTTCCTGCCTCATGCCGACTGTCCATGTGAGGTTGGGCCCAGCCCCTGATGAGCACCTGCCTCCCCCATACCTGGAGGAGTTGACCGCTAAAGGTGAGCAGGGACATGTACGTATGTGCAAACATGCAAACAGTTAGACAAAACACCTCTGAGACCCCTTCAGGATCCTGCAGCTACATCTGATATCCAGAAACAGTGCTGGAAAATTTTATGGCAGAAGGAAGGGCTTCTTGGTAAGGGTGGTGAAGTCTTGACTCAGGCTGTGCATTCTTGACATATTCCTGCTCTAGCACTTGTCCTGGATAGGGAAAAAAGGATCAATGCCCACTTCCAGACCCCATCGGGTATCTTCTAAGCCCCCTTGTTTAGCATGACTGCCTGTTTTACAATTGTTGAACTGCATGCGGACACCTGAAGAGACACAGAAGGATTTTGGAGTGCCACAGTGGGGGAGAGCAAAAGGAGGGAATGAGCAGAGGTGGACTGAGCTTATAGATGGGCCATGCTGTGGGATGGCAGAATTTAAATCAGAGTGTCTCTGGACCAAACCACTTATCTCAAGGAGCACAGCCTGGTTCTTGGGACGGTTTTGCCCTTGCCATGGCAAGGGTGGTGACTGCTGTCCTCAAAGGTGAGAGCAGAGGGCTGGGGCAGGCAGCCTCTAGAGCAGAGCTGGGAGGAGCAGGGATGCTCAGGCATGCAGCCATGAGTGACCTGATGGTTTCAGCCTACCCACATGGCATGGGTGGGGACAGGGGTCTCAGCTCTATCCCAGAGGGCAGGGGGGGCCAGGGCAGGCACATGCTGTTGCTGGCCAGCACAGCCATGCCCCCAGGGTGCCTTAACCTGAGCTCTCTGCTTTGGCAGTACGTGAGTGAGCAGCTCCAGGCGCACAAGCAGTTGGTCGTATCCACCTGCTCCGTGGCGGACATCCAGGCAGCCTTCAACACCACTGTCTCCCGCATCCAGCGATAGTGAGTACAGCTTGGGCTCAGCCTGGTGGCACCATATGAATTGAGAGAAGGGCTCAGTATGGCCTTGGCTCCCCAGGGCTCATTAGGACCTTTTGGGGTTGTGGACATTACTGTAGAGACAAGTGTAGACCTGGGGAAAGTGGAGTATCCCGGTATCCCAGTATCTCAGTGCTGCTTTTGCCCCTGGCAGTGCACAGCAAGCTGGAAATTCTCAGCGATGGGATTCTGTCAGCTGGCCTGGCAGGGCATGTTCCCTGGCCCGCCTGCTGAGCCACTACACATCCTTCATGGTCTCCTTTTCTCTTCTTTGGCAGCTGTAACTGTAACTCTCATATGCCTCCCCCGGTGAAGGTGGTGGTCGCAGGGGACCAGAGCTACCTGAGTGTTGTCCTCCGTTTCTTTGTGGAGCAACTGGCCAGCAAGACACCCGACTGGCTCAACTACCTTCGCTTTCTTCTTGTGCCGCTGGGTGAGAGCCACTGTGAGCCTGCTCCCAGGGCTGTCCTCTCCTACCTCCCCAGATTCCCCTGCCTGGAGCCAATGCTGCCCTTCTTACCCACAGGCTCTCACCCTCTGGCCAAGTACCTGGCCTCAGTGGATAACAAATACAGCACTCTCTTCCTGGACACAGCATGGCGGGAGCTGTTCAGCAGGGCTGAGCCACCCACCGCAGGTGAGGAGCAGGGCAGGGTGGCATCAGCAGTGCCCTGATGGTGAGCCCAGCTGCCACTGAGGCCCTCACGGCTCTTTGTGCCCACAGACACTGTGGACATTGCAGGCCGTGTTGCCCAGTTCATCGCTGGAGCCAGCCTCTCTCACCAGCTTCCCATCTCTGAGGCCATGCTGACATACAAGCAGAAGAGGTGAGCATGTCCCCAGGGCACTTGTCCTCCCTCATGTCGCCCCAGTCTGGGCTGTGCTCAGGACAGGGATGTGGGACATGGGACAAGTGAGTGAGGCTCGGCATTCCGCTGACGAGCAGCGTGGTGCTGAGGGGAGCTGGGGTTCCACAGTGAGAGCAGCACCATTCCCTGCCACCTCCCGGTGTGCTCGGCCCCTCCAGCAGCTGTGGCTGTGACAGTCCCAGTGGTGGGGACCAGCTGCCAGGACTGGGATGGGCTGGGTGGGGGCTGCAAGCTGGTATTGTGCTGCCCGGGGGTTGACGCTCGTGTTCCAGCTGCACTCTCACCTCTCCCTTCTCTTGGTTTCTGGCACTCAAGGAAGAGAAGTCTCTATTTTGATTTTTATATCAGGTATTGGCTTGTGCTTGCTGTGCCGCTGCCTGGCCCCCCCCACCTTCCCCCATGTGCGTCCATCCCTCTTGCTGTGCAGAGGAGCCGTGACCCCAAAGTGGGGCAGGGCTGCCCTCCCGCATGCAAGCCCTTTCCCAGAACTGGAGGGGACAACTCCTTGCCTCCTTGTGTAGTGTGCCCTGTGCTGCCATGTTGGGGACAGGGGGTCCCATGGGAGGGAGGGCAGAGGAGACTGTGCCAGTGGCTGTGAGCCAGCATTGACCCCTGCCAGTGCGGGGGTGCCTGGGCACAAGGACAGTCACATGGCACTCGGTGCTCAGCACACCCAAACCCTGACCAACCTCTCTTCCTTCTCCAGCCCCGATGAGGACTCCTGCCAGAAGTTTGTCCCCTTTGTGGGGGTGAGTGTTTTGAGGGGCCAGCAGGCCATTGGGGCTGAGGAGAGAGGGGCAGCGCGCAGCCCTACTGATGCTGGCTGTCCTCTGACTCGTCTGTCCTTGCAGGTGGTGAAGGTGGGCCTGGTGGAGCAGTCATTCAGTGCCTCTGGTGAGTCCTTGGGAGCCCAGCTCTCTTCTCCACTGTGGGAGGCCCTTGTTGGGGTCCCCCAGCCCCCACAACCCGCACTCTTCCTTCACAGTGGACTCGGATGATGCCACAGTCTGTACCCCCTCCCTGCTGAGCTCAGCGCCAGCCACCAGTGGAGCAGCTCCCTATGGCAAGGAGACCGTGAGCACTCCGCCACCCTCCCCATCCGTCAGCAGTGGCCTCTCGGGTGCTGGGTAAGAAGGCAAGCCACACTTAGCCTGAGGCAGCAGGGGCTGGGGTAGGAGTATTATTGCTTCTCCCCGGGCAGGCTGCAGCTGGGCAATTGGGAAGGAGAGGAGCACGGGCAGCACCTGTGTGCTACATGGTGCTGCCCATCTTGCCCAGGTCTCTGAGCCCTGGTGTGGAGGTAATGGGCCTGCAGGTGGACTACTGGACAACACAAGGACTGGACAGGAAGAAGGAGGGTGACAAGCGGGAGACGGGTATCAAGAACACACTCAAGAGCAACTTCCGCTCACTCCAGGTCAGCCGCATCCCTGGCGCAGGGGAACTGGTGCCCCCCAGCACCATGGCCATGACTGTGGTCACCAAGGAGAAAAACAAGAAAGGTAACCAAGCCCACTCTGGGTGCTCTCTGGCTGTGGGGCCACAGTCCTTTGCAAAAAGGGTGGGAGGGAAGACAGAGCTGAGAGCTGGCCCAGGAGGGGCCAGTCAATAAGCCAGCCCTGGGGCAAGGGCTCCCACCCAGCGCCAGGTGGGGACATCTTAACATTGGTCTTGTCTGGCCTTGGCCCCTAGTGATGTTCCTGAGCAAGAAACCTAAAGAAAAGGACTTGGAACCCAAAAGCCAAGTCATCGAAGGGATCACACGCCTCATCTGCACAGCCAAGCACCAGAACACCATGTTGCGAGGTGAGGGAAGGTATAAGCCATTTGGGGCTGTAGGGGGGCAGACCTAGCAGCAGAGGCTGGCTGTGGCAGGGCTGTGCCTCACTGCACCCTTTCCTCTCAGTCTCCATAGATGGGGTGGAGTGGAACGATGTGAAGTTTTTCCAGCTGGCAGCACAGTGGCCAACACACGTGAAGTACCTCCCTGTGGGTATCTTTGGCTACTCGAAGAGTGTGTGATACATGGGGGCATCCCTGGAATGGAGCTGCAGTGGGTTGCAAGAAGAGACAGAGAAATGGACATGCTCTTGTCCCCATCTTCTGTGGCCAGTCCCTGCCTGCTCTGTGGAGGGGGGATACCACACCCCCACCCTGTGGGCCAAGACCCGTGAAGGTGAGGCCAGTGAGACTGGGTCCACGCACCCTCCAACACCAGCCAGGGCACCATGCCATCTGCCTCCCATGACCCCCAACAGCAGCCTGGGACAAGGGTTGGCACCAGCCAGCAGGGCCCCAGGAAGGGCTCTGGGCCTCACTCTCCACAGATGCACCTGCCAGGCCACCCCTGCAGCCAGCCAGGGCCCCAGCTGGGCTGGGCCCAGGCAGGTTCCCCAGTGCCACCCAGACTGCTCTGCAGGGGGCAGGTGCTGAGCAGGGCCCGCAACCCCTGTGCTGCCCCTTGCCAGCCCCACTGCCAGCTTCATGCTGCTGTGCCTGGCCATGCCCTCTGCAGCAGAGCCTCAGCAGCTTTTCCAGTCCCCCTGCAGCCCTGCTGCTGAGGCTGTCCTCTTCATTCCCCCATCCCTTCCCAACCAGCCCTACCCCAGGGTGCTGCCAGCTGGAGGTGTGGCATGAGGGCACCTGGGTTTTTTTTTTTACAAGATTCTATTTTTTTTAAATTTATTGTACGGTTACTTTTCAGGATTAATTTTAATAAATTAATGCTGGTACCATTATGGCAGGGGGTGTGTGTGTCCCCATGTCTCAGGGCATGACCAAGCACAGCTGGGGGAGAATAAATGTGGGCAGGGTGCAGCTACTACACCCACTCTAGCAAGCACAGCAGTCAGGGCTGCCTGACCACAGCAACGTGGCCTCACCACACTCCCAGCCATGAGCCAGCTGAGCTCTCTGACAGACTATGAACCAGGACTGGATGGCACTTGGCTCATTTATTTAAATAGAACCCACAAGGAAGAAACAGACTAGACCCAGCCTGAGTCCTCCCAACCAGGTCCTCATCTACCTGAATGTGGAAAATATCTTTCTCTTTTCGGCAGAGGCCAGGCTTGATGCCATCTTGATCTCTACAGTCTGGAAGGCAACCTGTGGCTGGACCTGGGAAGTGGGGGGTGTTGTGGGTTCAGCAGAGATGTATTCCAAGACATGAGGCCTCCCCTCCTGGCGCCGGAGATAGCCCTGGTTCAACAGGTGCAGGACACAGGACAGCACGTCCACGCTGTGGCAGCAGAAGCTCAGAAACTGCACACCTGGCCCCAGTTCACCCTTTTGACAGGCATCAATCACCTATGGCAGCAAGGGAGCCCCACACTGCAGTGTGCCACAGCACCCATGCAGCCCCTCTCTGCCCCCCAGGACCTTCGTACCCTGAACACCAGGTTGTCGACGTGGAGCTGCTTCTCCACCTTGAGGATGCGGGTGATGAGGCAGCAGAGGACGTTCCTCTTCCTTTCCAGGGCGCTCACCTCGGCCCTCTCTGTCCGCAGGTACCTCTGCTGAGGCAGCAGCCTCAGGTGGTGGCCAGAGGCCTGGGCCAGGGCTACCTGGTTCAGCTGCAGTGCACCTGGAGCCAGCACCCAACCCAGGGTCAGCCAAGCCTCCAGCAGGGCCTTGAAGGAGTCCCAGGACACACGTGTGGCTGCTGGACCCAACCTGGGCCTCCTCCTGCTGCCCCCACAGTTGGCCGCCACAGCCCTGTCCCCCACACGTGGCCCCAAGCAACAGCCACGCACACAACCCCATCCCTGTCCCCAACCCACACACAGACCCAAGACACAACCATCCACACTGACCCGCACCCCAAGCATGGCCCCAAGCCCCAGCCCCACACACCACTCCCAACCCTACACCTGGCCTAATGGCTCCAACCTGGCACACAGACTCGCACCCCCAGAACCACCAGACAGACCCACCCCAGCCCACTCACTTGCCGTACAAGTTTGTGCACCCCAAACCCCAGCACCTACTCAGGGCTCAGAGCAGCACCTCCCCAGGGGTGCCCCAGCCCCACATTCACCTCCCAGTGTGCAGCTCCGCACCAGGACGCCCTGGCCGTGGGTCAGCGGTGTCAGCGCGTGGTGCACCAGGTCAGCAGGGAGCCCTGTAGCCTGCAGCAGGGCCTCCACAGCCACCTCCTGCAGCAGGGCATGGGAGGTGAATGGCTGGCCAAGACCTACTGGCTGCAGGCCCAGCTAAACAAGGGTGTCCTGTGCCCCAAACGCTGCTGGAGACCCCACTGGAAGGGAAGGGAGGACACAGCCCTGCCAGGCTCTGGCAGCCACTGCCTCCCTCCCCCCACTGTGGCCCCAGCTCCTACCTCAGCACTGTTGAAGCACAGCAGGATGTACATCTGTAGCGTGGACACGTGGAGGACACAGTCTCCAAACTGCAGCTCAGCATGGCCCAGCCACGTCCACTGCAATCGCCGGGGCTTCGTGCACTCCCAGCCCAGCTGGCTCTGGCCTGCCAGGGACAGTGTCAGCACAAGGGCCAGGGACCAGCCCTGACCAGCACTCCCAGCCCACGCCAGCACGCCACCACTTCTGGCTGAGCTGCTGGGGAGGGTCTGGGCTCCGGCAAGACTCACACGCACACCCACTGCCACAGCACTCACTCTGCTGGCAGAAGTCAGCAAACTCATCCAGGGGGGAGCTCAGCGTTGCCGAGAAAAACCTCCCAGGGTTATCCATGTAACAGAGTGGGGAAACAGGCCAGCAGCGCGGGGACAGGGCCAGCACCTTCACCTCTGGCACATCTGCCACCGAGGCTGTCTCCAGCACCTGGGCATGGGGACATGAGGGTGGCTCAGCTCAGGCTCCAGGATCCCCATGAGGAATGCCGGTGGTCTCCAACCTCCCCACCCCACCCTCTCACCTCATCCAGGCCCATGTCCAGCTCCAGCAGCCGCTTATCCTGCTCCTGCAGCTGGAAGAGGCAGAACTGCCGCTGGAGCTCCTCTGACTCAGCCAAGTTGCTCAGCATATTTTGGGGAAAGCGGCTGGGGAAGCACAGCCCAATCTGCTCCACGATGCCTCCTTCCAGCCAAGACGGCCCTTGCGTCAGGAGCCGGTCCCCCAGGTAGTGCCTGCCACAGCATTAGGTCAGCAGTGCCTGCCAGCATTAGGTCAGGGGTGGGCCCCGGCCCTGTGGTCATCAGCCACCCGCCAGGAGACAGACACAGCCCCGGCCTCACCCCATGCCACACAGGCCTGGCAGCACACACATTCTGGGAATGTGTGTGCAGGGAATGTGCCTCTGCAGACTGGCAGCACCCACGGGTCCTCCACACACCAGAGCCGGGAAAAGCAAAGCGGGAGCACCACTGCCACACTGGGCCAGGCTCCCCCACCATGCCACGCCACCCTGCACCAGGCCCTGGTTCCACGGAGACACAGCACCCTCACCTGTAGAAGTGCTCAAAGCTGTGGGCAAGCTCCAGGCCACTGAAGACGACAAAGGGCTCCAAGAACTGCTGCAGCCGCTCCAGTGGCCCTGTGCTGCCCTGTGCTGCCCTGCGGAGCTCCTGGATCTGCACATCAAGGTAGCGGGCAAACTGCTCACTCACCTGTGAGGAACAGGGCTAGCTGTGGAGGGGACTCACAGGGTGGCCACAGTGCAGGCCTGGGGGAATGGCCCCTGGGGGAGCAGCTGGGAAGCTCTGGCACTCTCAGGTGGGGGCCAAGGGTGCCCAAGCACCGGCCCAAGGCACGCGTGTGCCGGGGCCAGGCCCACACCATGATGAGCGCCACACACCCACAGCTGGGGACCGGGCTGCTGCAGGACAGGGCTCTGTGGCTCGGTGGGGACGAGCACACCACCCACCCAGAGCTCGCCCCAAGGCCATGGGCCAGGGCAGCCCCCCAGCCGGCGCCCGCCTGGGGCCA